CCGTCTCCAAAATGAGTCCGGTGATTCAAAGGCAGGAATGCTTTTTTTCTATAAAAATGTGTGCATTTGCCAATATTTTTCTTTGTGACCGTGACGAGTCAACTCCTCTTTCTGGGATCCAGTTGCTCAATCTGCAATACCTAGAAGATGTCCCTTTCACATTCTAAGCTACTATGAATCTACTTCAGACTTCTCTTGGATTTAATGGCTCTCCATTCCCGAAAATGCCAGAGGCCACTTTCCCGCCATTAACCTTTTCCGCACTCTCACACAAAACAAACAGCTATTTGAAAGTAGAAAAAGAAAAAAAAAGCATGTCCATTTCTGTTGGCGACTCCTCAAAAAGCATAAGCGTCACTGAGACTGATTATTCAGCTTTGTCTCCACCTTGTTAACCCCCAAATCGATAAACATTTATTAAGAGCCGACTGTATGCAATACCCTGCCCTAGCTGCTGAGAGGAGTTACAAAGATAAATAAGATTTGGTCTCTGCCATCCAGAAGTTACTATGGGAAACAGGAATTTTGCTCAGATACTCATTACGCCAAGAAATTGGCTCATACAGTGGCAAAACTCCAACTCTTCGTTCTCCCTTAGAATTCCACCTGCCCTTTTGGAATTTAGACTGCCCTGTTTTTTTCAACCACACGTGTTCCTAAAGTTAGCTTCATTTTTCATTCCCCCACCCCCACCCCTTTCTATCTCTGTTGCAATGGAAGGAACATTGGACCTAGGATCCGAAGACTAAGATTCAGGTCCTGGTTCTGACATATACTAGCTTGGGCCATTGGGCCAGGTACTTAACCTTTGGAGATTCGATGTCCTCATTTGTAAAATGAATATCATAATACTTGCCCTTTCTGCCTCACAGAGTTGTCAGGGATCAATATAGTGTTGTGAAAGTGTTTGGTAAGGTGTAAAACGCTACAGAAATATGACTTATTCTTTCTCTAAAAGTCAATCTCCTCTTTGCTCCCGTCCTTTCCTTCCTTCCTTTCCTCCCTCCCTCCCTCCCTCCCTCCCTCCCTCCCTCCCTTCCTTCCTTCCTTCCTTTTCCTTCCTTCCTTCCTTCCTTCCTTCCTTCCTTCCTTCCTTCCTTCCTTCCTTCCTTCCTTCCTTCCTTCCTCCTCCCTCCCTCCCTCCCTCCCTCCCTCCCTCCCTTCCTTCCTTCCTTCCTTCCTTCCTTCCTTCCTTCCTTCTCTCTTTCCTTCTTCCCCTCCTTTCTTCCTTCCTGTCTTCCTGGTGCACATTCATCTCTTTGTCTACTCCCAGGGCTAAATGTTGCTTCATGCCTCATCAATGTTGCTTTTATAGTTTATGATTATCACTAAGGCTTTCTCCTAAAATAGCTATCTATTCCTAACACTCCAGCACCCACCGCTATCTTACTAGCTATCAGGACTGCTTCCTGAGACTTCATGCAAGTTTTGTTTTCCATCTCTCTAATGCATTTGTTCTGTACTATGGTGTAATTATATTTTGTAGTGTTATCAGAGAAAGTAATACATTGCCCTTAGGGCTGAACAGAACTCTGCATTCACGAGCCCTTAATAAATATTTGCTGGTAAAGAAATGGATAATTACGGAGAAATGTCCATCTCACAGCTATTCTCACCCCATCTCCTCCCCCTTCCCTGAAGGCTTGATAAAGTAATTTTGTTCTCTAGGTATTAAGCGGGTGTTTAAAGTTCCTTGGGTCAGAATGAGTGTTGCACTCTTCCTCTTGCTGGTTCTAGAATGAGAATTAACCTTTTTCGAGAGAATTTTTGTATTTGGTTGATACACGGCGGCATAAAGCATAGACATAGAGAATCTGCTATTTGGCTGAAATGTAGAGAACTTTGGGAAAGCAGATGAGTCTAAAAAGAACTCTTAAACCTGGTCAAGAGCTCTGGATGAGGGTCGGTAGATATGGTTTAGAATGAAGGGTTAGACATTTTCAATGTGTGTCTGCATAAGTCACTTCGTCTCTCTGAGCCTCAGTTTCCTCCTCTGTAAAATGCAATAAAAATACAGCACTTAACGCTATCTGCCTCACAGCGTTGTGAGGAAAGAGCGTTGTTACCCTTAACACTTGGAGTTGTGAATTCTGACTGAAATGAGTTGGTAAGAGTCAGTGTTCTTTGTTCCACCCTCAAAAAAAAAAAGAGAGAAAACTGCTCATATTCTTCAACTCTAGCCCCCTATACTGAGTTAAATACAATTCTAACCCCAGCTCCGACACATAATAGTCACATGCTTAGTGTTTTAAAAGTTGAATTGAATTAAATCTGAATTTCAGGTTCGCGGGGTCGAAAACACAGTTGCCCCGGTCTCATTAGACGATGCTCTTCCTCTAGGATTGAGAGTTAATTGGATCTGGAAATTTAAAAAGAAACGAGAAAAGACCAAGACAGGGAGAGTGTAGCGGATACCTGCCCTCTCTGTTCCCACTCGGGGACAGTCTGGGAGGGGTAGGATAGAGTCCGCTGTGGTCCTTTGTATTCTGCTGTGGAAGGAAACTTCTCCCAGTCCCCAGCTTTCCTCTGGTCGCTGTTCACTCCCAGTGTCCCTCTGTCCCGTGCCCCCATCAAACCCTAGAAAAGAGACTGAGACAACCTGAGAAGGGGATCGAGATGAATTAGACAGTGCGTCTCAGATGAGATGCGGCTCTGCGGTCCTGCAAGGCGGAATTGTGACTTGCTAGCCATTCCACGGAAAGGCCAACGCAGAAGATCTATCCTGCTTAGTGGACGGAGACCACGCCACAGAGGGCTTTCGGGCGACCCTTGCCTTGCGGAAAAGAGAAAAGAAAGGAAAGAAAAGGTGACTGAGATCCTCCATACTCCCCTTGGAGCCCAGCTTAGGCTTACAGGCCCTGGAGTTAGGGGGTCCTCGGTTCAAGGAGACAACCTAGATTCTGGCCGCGTGAAAGAAAAAGCCGGGACCTAACCTAATTCCTGCTCTTGATCAACCGTTATTTCTATCCAGCTGAGAAGCTGTAGTTGTCAACTGTGCCCTGAGTCAGCCCTTGGGGAAGGAAGAATTCAATGAGAAAAACAGTTGTCAGCTCCTACTAAGTGTCAGGTACCGGACTAAGTTTTTCCTCCTTTTGTAAACAAAAGGTATTTTGAAAAAAAGCTGTGCTTATGGAAGTAGCTACAGCCTTTTCCTCTGTCGCCTTTTAAGTAAACCCTATTATTTTCCCGAACTTTATTGGAAAATCGTTTTGGTGCTGATGGGGAGTTGGAAGTCTCCATGCGGATAACCTCCTAAGTTCCGAAATAAACCTCCAAGCGTTTGCCCAGGACCGACACTTCCTTTTTGTATTTACATAAGCGCTGATTCGATGTGGTTGAAGTGAAATCTCAATAATGCTGATCTTAATTCATCTGAGTAATATTTTCCCTAACAGCCCTGTGACAGCCCGTCAGATCGAGTCCAACAAAGAAACCAGAGAAAGGAAGCATGAAAAGAAAAAGATGATGGTTTTTTATGTCATCGCATCTTCTTGATCACCTTCCACATCATCACCTGGGAGACATGAAAAAAAGAGCATCTCCTCCAGAGGATTGGGGAGAAAAGTTTTAAGAGGCCTGCAGTCCTCTCCTTTCCATCTCATCCTCAATACCGTTGAAGTGAGGCCACCTAAATGATTAAAATTGTTTATTGCTATTTAAAAACTAAGTGTACAGAAAAGATGCTCGACCCTCTGAGGTTGGAAGGCTCATCAGATGCTCCTAGATCAGCCAAGAGGAAGTCATACCAGGTGGGCCAGGCTTTAGTAATTTCATAACCCTACTGGAGTAATTATTTGAAAATCAATGAAAAGAGGCACACTGTCCTAGGTAGCTCTTTGCATCGAGACACACATTTTGTAGTGGAATTAGAAAAAAAAGTTTTTTTTTTAAACCCACACCCTTACTGCAAGGGTCAAGTTACAATCTAAATTCGTTTTAAACCCCCTGAGAGAGTAAAATTTGAACAGAAGCAAAGCCTCAGGGCCCTGGGAACGATAGAAAACCTAGGAGAGAAATATTGGAGAACTGAGATAAAGTGTGTTGGGGCTAGTGTAGTGAAAGCTAAACAACTTGTTTGTACCTTGATCATGATAATCATTTAATAAATCTTTGTTAAATTTAAGGGAATGAGCCACTTTGTAGTACAAAGAACCAGTAGCAGAGTAGGCCTGAAATCGTATAATATATCAGTGTTTGCTCTCACATAGGCAACTACACGCAGATCTTTATGCCCACAATTGGCTATGAAATTTAACACTGAAGCTGTAGGCGCAGCTTTCTTCGTGAATATATGTGGGTACGTGTGCTTATGATAAATAAAGGTTTCCCGGCATAAAGTGTAGACACAATTTGGATATTCGGCCCGAAATAAAGACATGTATCTTCTAACAGAATCCAGGGTGACGGCTTTTCAGGGCTTTGGGTAAATAGTGTCGAACTCACAATTCAAAGGGACTTCAAAATGCCCGCTAGAGAAAGCAAAGGCCTCTGGATTGTGGGTTTCTGGAGATCGCCAAGTGAATGTTTCGGAGGGCTGGAGAGATAGCCTTTCCCCTTACACAAATTGTCTTTTACAGTGATCCTAAGGTGCCTCAAAGCGTCATTGTGGAATAAGGCGGGGCTCACCCCCTAACTCGGCCAGCTGAAGGAGATAGCTGGTGAAAATTGTCAAGCTCAGCAGCTGAAAAGCTACCCGTTCTCTTGTCAGTATTAAACTCTTCCCTTTCTCAAAGAAGCGAAACTGAAGACACTTGGTGCCGCCTTGTAAAAACGATTGTATTTTCGACCGTGGCAAAAACTGACAGGGCAGCTAGTCTGGGCTAATGGGTATTAGAGTTGGAATGGCGTCCTCTTTGAGGGGGACCGGAAGTGTTTAGGTAAAAAAAGGCGGGGGGGGGGAAGCCCTTAGGCCATTCTAGACCAATTTCGCGTGTGTTCCTGCCTATGTGCATTTGGCATCGAAACTTAGAGAAGACAACACACAGTACGATGTGTTCAACTAAAGTTTATAAATTAAAAAATAAAAGCGGATATAGCTTACAAATATTCACAATTCTCTTAAAAGTAATACTGTGGTTGAGTGCGTGGTGCCCTTGAGAAGCGAAGAGGTGAACGAACTGGAAGAGAACCTCAGTAAGCTCGACAAGAGAACAAGCGTGACAGCTTGTTTTCTTCAGGAGAGTTTTTTTGAGGGGGAGGGGGTAAGAACAAGGAGAGAAAAGGTGAAGGAGGGGGCACTGGAAAGTCCGGAGATTCCTGTCTGAAGACAACGGTTTCAAAACACTGACTAGAAATATTCACATTGAATACAAAAATAATGATAACAGTAATAATAATTTTAATACAGCTGGAAAGTGCTACGAGTCGTAACTCCCTTTAAAGAAAGAAAGAAAGAAAGAAAGAGAAAGAAAGAAAGAAAAAAGGAAGGAAGGAAAGAAGGAAGGAAAGAAGAAAAGAAAGAAAAGAGTCTCCGTAAAAGTTTCCCTCAAGGTGGATAAACTGCATTAGCCTGGGTCTCACACTAGGCCACTTAGAGTCCTGCGGCGCTAGCCACGGAGAGTGAACCAAGGAGCATAAAACGAGGCTTACTTACATTCAGCGCCGAACAGGGCCAGCTGCAGGGCCACAGGCTCGGGCGCCAGAGGAGGGTTGGGGACAGGCACACAGACACCAAACCCAAATCAAAATAACCAAGACAGCAACAATCATTTTCAATCCATCCATCAGGGTGCCCTTGGTATGACTCCGGTGGGTTTTGGGTCTAATCGATCCCCTTCCCCCAACTCCATATCAATCCAATTAAAAAAAATAGATAGGTATATACAAATATCTCGGTAGCATGGATACCATGAACTCGTTTGGCCGAATGGACGAAGCTCTCGGCTTGTTGTAAATGTCTGTGAAGTTAGGCAACTTGACAAATAGCAATTCCCCACTTTCCCCTATACCCTTATCCTGCCCCCCCCAATTAATCCCCTTACTTCCCTCATCCTTAATGAAAAGCCATCTCAGACCCAACAACAGCAATAATAACAAAAATAAAGAAATCATAATAAATAGTGTCCTTGATGTCCTTTTCCTCGGATGACTCGGAGGACTGGTAGGTTTTTGTGGAAGCGTCTGGGGACCTGGCTCGACGTTGTCGTAGTCCTTCACTGGGTGCCCGCTGCGGCCGTGCAGGTGGAGAGGGCCCAGCCCGGAAGGCAGTAGTAGGGGTAGTAGTAGGAGGGCTGAAGGGAGAGCAGGGAGGGGGGCCTGAGCACCTCTCCCGGATGGTACTGTCTCTGATCGTCCCTCACTAGCACTTTGACCGCCACCTTCTTGGCAGCAGGAGCCGAAGCTAGCAGGTCTGCGGCCATTTGGCGGCGCTTGGTCTTGTAGCGGCGGTTCTGGAACCAGATTTTCACCTGAGTCTCGGTGAGTTTCAGAGAGGCTGCCAGGTCGGCTCTCTCCGGGCCAGACAGGTAGCGCTGGTGATTGAAACGGCGCTCCAGCTCGAAGACCTGTGCGTGAGAGAACGCGGCCCGGGAGCGCTTCTTCCGAGGCTTGGGCGCAGATTGCTCCTCTACTCCAGGGCCCCCGCCACAAAGGAGTTTCTCGCACTTGCCGCCTCCGCCTCCGTCCTCCTCTGTCCTCGGGCTGCGATCTGCTGGGGCCAGGGGGAGAACAAAACGAAAAGCAAGGTCAGTTTCGAGGCCCCAAGAACAAGCCTCAGGAGAAATAGCCGGGTTCTTACTTGCAGCCTGGTATTGACCCAGGCTCTCCTGAGACCCTGGGAGGGCTGGGAGACCCTTCCTACGGACAGGCGGACTGGTTCCGTGGCCCCTTTCCCCGGCGTCTGTCCTAGCTGCTGAATTGGTGAAAGAACTCGCCGCTTCACCAAAGGCGCGAAGCCGGATTACGGCAAAACGAACACTATCTCTCAGTCACTCTGTTGGCTTCTTGTTTCTAGCTCTGTCTGCCGTCTCTCTCTCTGACTCTTGTCTCTGTCAGTCCGATTTCCACCACCATCCCTCTCTCCTCTAATCTTTACTATCCTTTCCTTCTGTCTTCAGTCTGTCTCCTTCACCTCCACACCGGCGTGCGCGCGCACACACACACACACACACACACACATACACACAGTACCACCTAAGTCTCTCCCTGTTTCCCATTAGCACCTGGAGGGTTGCGATCATCCAAGTGTCATAGTATCAAGGGAAGGGAGTCGGGTGGTGACGAGCCTGTACTCGGAAGTCTATAGAGCTATCAAACCGGCAAACTTAAAGTGACAGAATGCTACGAGCAGTCAAAAGACGAGCTTTGCTTGTGGTTTCCCTCTCCACCTTTTGTGACTCCTGCCCCTTTGCCTTCTTTGGTACCCCAGGTGGAAATAGGAGAGATGGGACAGGGAGTCAGGACCTTTCCTATTTTCCTTGGACTTCTTTCCTTTTTTTTTTTTTTGCCGGGGGTGGAGCGTGGGGGGGGGGGGGCTTTGTCCATCGTTTTATCACTTCAGCTCCGCTCTTTACTCCCAAATACCTGCCTTCAAGGGAAACAGTGCCCAGGGCACTGGGCCTTCAGTAACTTGGTCAGAAACCATTTTGAGTTCTGCTGTACACCAAGGCCTACGGCCGCCGGCAAAGAGTGAAAAAACAGAACGGAATGGGGCGCTGGGTATCTCCTTACAGATAAGCAAGGCGTGAAAAGCAAACAGCTTTTCCTAGATTACTCTCAGCTCAGGGTCATCTCTAACCCGGAAAACGCGAAGTTGAAATGCTGCACTAAAGGTTTTTTAAAAAATTTCCCCTACAGATCCTGGCTTCCTTTTCTGTCAGTGCCTCCTCTCTGGCCCTACCTTTTCGTTTGCTGTTCTCGGAAGCAAGGTTTTGAACCGTTGGCTCAACTGCTGCCATGAATCTGAGTCCCCTTCTGCCCCGCACCCCTCGGTCTAGAAAGGCTTTAGCTCCGAAGTGTTCTTTGCTTTAATCTTTTGCTACTCCTCAAACTTCTCACTCCCTTCATCTCTCCCCTTAAAGACTAATCTGGGGGCTTCGGAGGCCATATTCTTTTTAACATCCTGGGCTCCCAAAGGCCGAGACCTGGGACAATTAGGATGCTGGATCACTGAATTCTAGCCCGAGTGGGAAGGGAGGTGAATTGGGGTCCCTCGCTCACCAGGGCACACGTGCTTGGAGCTGATGGGGAGGAGGGAACATGAGGAGAGGAGAGCTCCAAAAAGACTGTCAATTCTCTACAGGGATCCCCTTCCACTAGGGAAAGTGGGGAGGGGGTCCTGGCTCCGAGGCTACCCAGCGGGAACTTGCTTACTCCTCTAAATCTTGCCCCAGCTAATCTCCGGTGCCGAGCCCATGCGTGAAATTTCGTTCCTGGATTTCAGCTCCAGGATACGGTCTCTTTTCTCCCCCCCCCGTCCCCTTTCCCTCACTCCCATCGCCCAAGCCCAGTTCATCTTCCCTCCCATTGTCCACCAAGAAATTCAAGCAGACCTGAGACGCTGGCTGACATCTCACTGTCACTCAGGCCTGGGGGCTCTTCTTCCAGGTCTTTGGCCGGAGCCTCTGGCCCCGGCTGCCCCCTGCAGGGAGTTTCCTGGGCGCGTCCCGCGCCGCTGGCCATCCCGGGCAATCCTACAGCCTCCGCCGGGCAGCGCCGCTCCCCTTCGTTCTCTTCGCTCAGAGCAGAGTCCGAGTCCCAGCCCCTCGGGCTCCCCGCTGTCAGCCCCACAGCCACTGCTGCTGCTGCTGCTGCGGCTGCCGCCACAGACCTAGGCCCAGCCGGGGAGGGCAGGAGCGTCTCCCCAGATCCCCCCACAGTACCCGAGTCCATTTCTCCAAAAAGTCTCCAGCAACAGGCTGGAGCCGCCGCGGCCGAGCCTGCAGGGGCCGCGGCTCCCCTAGCCGGGAGCAGGCGCCCTTCCAAGCACGGATGTCCTACCCTGTCCTCCTTCTTGTTAAGAATCGCCTGGATGGAGAAAGGCGTCAAGGTGTTGCCGCTGCGGACAGCCATCTGCCCCTCGAGGGGCAGCGGGCCAGGCCCGGGGCAGGGAGCAACCCCTGCTCCGGAAGAGTCGGGGGATCCAAGACCGAAGAGAGAGAAAGAGCAAGCGAGCTAGTAGACGAGAAGAAAATGACCAATTTGACTGGAGGGCCCCCCAGCCTACTCCTCTGCACGATTCCCTCCCTGTCACCGAAACCTCCGCCCCACACACCCCCTGCTTCCCACTCTCCAAGGCTCCCCCCCACCCTCCACCCTCCCAGGTCCGACCCACCCTCCAGCCCCCCACCCCGCCCTCAAATCCAGTGCCAGAGTATCTTCTCCGCTCAGCTGGATAATCTCATGTCTCTCGCGGCTGCTGCCGCTTCTCTCTTTGCTCAGTTTAGGAGTGGACGGACTACGGAGGGAGGGGTAGCGCGTGTGGGGGATGGGGGTGGGGAGAGCAGGAGGCCTGGCTGATGCAGCTCTAACGTGCCACACTCAGGCAACAGTCCTCTCTTGAGCTCTGCACGGACTGACGGCCCGGGACGCTTTTTTCCTTCCTCGTTCCTTCCTTTCTCTCTCCTGAACTCGCTTTCTGTTGCACTCTCGCGGGTCTCCTTTTCCAGCTGTGGCTGTTGGAGCTGCGGTGGTGGAGGCAGCTGGATTCAGGCAGCGCAGGACACTTTCCCCGCCCCCCTCCCGCTTCTATCTGTTTCTTTTCTCTTTCCTTCTCCTTTTTCTCCTAGCACTGGTGTCATTGCTCACCTATGAGTGACAGCTGCGGCCCACGCCTTCCCATTGGGCAGGGCCGGGCTCAAGCAGACAGCTGATTGGCCAGCTCCAGCTGGGCAATGTTGATTTTAACAGACAGAACTGTGCAAGTTGCGGAGAGGAAGACTTGGGTTAGGGGTTAACCCCTTCTTTTCTAAATCTGCTGGTCCCGCAGCCTAATCCAGCTATGCATCATTTTATAAATGCACTGTATTATAAACTAAATTTTCTTTAGATATATATACTAATATATTTCAATGCATATAAGAAACAATGAAATCAACTCACTCAAAACGTGTTCATAAGTTAAAGGAAATGTGGATACAAGCGGCGACGACTTATCTCTTCTAAAAGATTCGATAAATACAACAAATAGAACACGCCCCCTTTTTCCTGTTTCCTGTGACTCAGTTCTAGGCGTATTCTATCCTCTCATTCTTCTAGTTGTTTGGAAAGGTACTCAGATAAGTAAAGCGCTAATCAGTGAAATCTTTTTAAAAAAAGATGGATTATGTAGGAATAAGTACACCATAAAATGCGAAAGCATCTTCTAGAAAGCACCCTGAAACTGAATTCTGTGATCTCACCGGGTGAATAATTCTGCACGTCAGTTTGAGTTTATTTAGTTTTATTTTAGAAGACGACTCTTAAGATTTTTCCTTATACGTAAAATTCCATACAAGTTGAACACCTTTAGCCTTAAAATTAAAAAAAATGAAATAGCTAAGAACTGGCATCATAGTTTTCCGTTATTCTAATACACTGGATACACTGAAAATTGTTTTTAAAAAGTACATTTTAAATCTACCAAAGAAACCAAATAAAAAGCAGAAATATTTTGATAACTATTGCATTTACGTATTACCTATGAATGTTACACAATTTTGGTTAAGCAATACTATTATCTTCCAAAAGACAATATTGGGAATCTAATGTGACATTACAACCACTGAAGAATTAGCTAAATTAAAAGTTAGGACGGTGCTAATTCTTCAAAATGCTGGGATTATTGATGTCCGTAATTGACATCGTAGTTACTTCTACCCAACATTTTTAGGAAGAGAGGTTGTCAGGTTCAGTATTTGAGTAAAAAATTTGTCCACTATTCACATTTTCCACACTGAAAAAAGATTTTTGGGGCCTCTTATATTTCCAAAACATTTACATGCACCTTGATTATTGCTATCTATTTTTAATACTGCATTAAAAAAAACCTTAACGAAGTGAAATTATTTCTTCAGAAGCAATTCGTGGCATCAGAACGGTGCCAGGGATGTGTGTGTGGGTGAATGTATAATGTCGAGATGAAGAATATTCTCCTCTTCCTCCCTTAGCACTGGCACTCAGCTATAGGTACCGAACGGCACTGAAGCAGGAGTAGATAATGGATTATAACAGATTTTTATACCCCAAGGTATTTGGGGAGGGGAGTAGGGAAAAACTGAAATCGACAGGTGGTTTTTGTAAATGCAGCAGACTGACAGGTCTGGAGTTGTGTGCAGTGCACAGGTAGACTGCTTTAAGGGATTAGGATTTAACAAGAATGAAGCATTCCGTGAGTGCTGAAACAGGCATGTAGATTTGATTTCTAGTAACTGTGAGAAGATCAGCCATGGAGTTCTAACCATGAAGTTGTATAGGGAGGTTAGGCGATTTGCAGCCACAGAAAGCCTCTGAATTGATGAATTGAACTAGCGGAGAATTTTCCCAGCAGAGAAAAGTGTTTTTCTGGGGAATTAAACTTTGTATTGGTGTGTATGCCTCTGCTTAAGGATTTCTCCGTGACTGGCAGGATCCTTAAGGAACACAACAGAAGATATCTTGGAGTAGGCAAGCTCCAAGCGTGTGGTGTAAACGCATTCGTCCCATTTACAAGTTCCAAAAGCTGTTTGGAGTCATCGTATAGCCATAAAATATAGTTTTTGCTGTATGTATATAATGCCCCTGGGTTTCTCAGTCCAGTGCAGCGTCAGTAAAGTAGGCTGGGGGAGGGAAAAGTGGTTACCCAGATGCACGTGAGTGCATGTTGCGGGTTTTCTTGGCGTGTGTAAACAAAGATTCCCAGGGAAGGTAGTGTGGGGGAATGGGGATTATTTGCTGATGTTGGGTGAGTTGGAGACACCCAGGACGGGAGGCGTGTGTGCAGTGCACGCTCACTCAGGGAGGGTTCGCCTAGGAACGAGCTGCAGAGAATAAAATCCCAGGGCTTCGGGGGAGTGGGGTGAAGAATTTTTCGAGATTCTGCTCTAGGGAAACTGAGAGTCCACGAAAGCCTGCTTTGCAAGCCTCCAAGTCCAAACTGCTGGAAATACCTGCGGTTAGTTTACAATGGTTGTAATTCTTCTTTCCCGATTTATCAGGGTTGCCCAGTGGAGCCGGGGCCAGGCCCTGGTGCCCAACGGCGCCTGCTTGAACTAGGGGCGGAACCGCATTGCCGGAGTGCTGGGGGCTATGGGTACTTTTTCTGAAAAAGAGCAATCCTTTGGCGGTGGGAATGTCTGTGGACAGTGAGCAGAAGAAAGGGAGGTAAGCAGGATCATAGATGAGAAGGTTACAGAGCTGTTTGAGGACGGTTAATCCCAGCCTGCGCTTGCCTGCCTGCCCCTGGCCCTGCGGCTGCTGTTGGGTTCTCCGATGCAGCTGGAGCTGCCTTGGCCTCAAGCGGCCTGGGTGGTCTGGTTTGCTCTTCAGGCTCTTTTCTGAAGCTTTAAAGAGCCCCTTCAGTAGGCAACGTCGCCGCCTCTTTTTTTCTCTTCGCTTTCCTCTCTTCTCCCTTCCCCTCTTCTCTACCCTACCCCATCCCTCTCTTCTTCTCCACTTCTCCAGCCCTCTCTTCTTGTCCCCCTCTCTTCTTCTCTCTCTCTCTCCTTGTCCTTTTCTTGCTCTATCTTGTGTCTTCTCTCCTTTACGGCTCTTGCCTTTCCACTTTTCTTTTGCACCTCCTGTCATCTTAGTTCTCTTACCTTTTCTCTGTTCTGTCCCCATTTTTTCTCTTCTCTTTCCTACATCTGCCCCCTCTCCTCTTCTGCAGTCTCTTCTCCCCTTCCCGCCTCCCGCGGCGGGCACAGCGGACTGGCGGGCGCTGGAGGAGCCTCTAGGGTTTGTTTGTCCTATGATCTGGAAGCTAATTTATTGGCTCTGAGTACAAGTGCCACCAGGGCCTCTCCTTGAAGGGGCTGCTTCCGCGGGACTGCTAAGAAATACACTGTAAGAGAGGGTAAGAGCGGCAGCAGCTCTTGGGGCCTCCCAGTGAAATCTGCCTCCTGCAGCTACTGGAAACCTACTGGCCCACCTTCTCCTCTCTGTTTGCTGCCAGATCTTTTCCCAACATGGTCCTGATTTGTTGACACCCCCCTTTCCCCTCTCTGTGGAGCTTTGGTTGAATTGTGCCTTGAATTCCGAAGTAACGGTCCTGTGGCCTTGGGGAAGGATGCCAGGGAGTCGCTGGCAGGCGCAGTAAATCCCGGAGAAAGCAAGGGTAGAGGAGCAAAATACTTGGAGCTCGGTCCGCTCTGCCCCGGCTCCAGAGGCGCTAGTGTTGCGTGCGACCCACAGGGCCCATTCTCTACCTTCCTCGCCTTAGTGCGCAGTCAACAACAGTGCGCTGCCCTTGCGCTCTAGGGGAGCGGTCATTTCGTACCACCAGCACAGCTCAGGAGAGCCGGAAACCCAAGCCTCCTTGTGGGACTGCGTTACTCTTGGACACCCCTAGATTAATGCAAGACAGGATATCCACGTCCTAAAACACACCGGAAGCGTCAGGGAGGGGAGGAGGGGAGATGCACATTCGGCAACACACAGACATTTAGATAAGGGCACAGATAGAGACTGAGGGACAAATACACGGAGACAGGAAAAAAAGAGATAACAAGTACTTGGAGAGAGCATGAAACCCTCAGAGATACAAAAACAGAGACAGAGATATACATAGAGAAACCGAGATAGACAAGCAGTAAGAAACATACAGAAGAAAACACAGAGAGGCTTCACAGAGATGAGAGGCAGATGCTGGCTCCCAGCCTCTTGGTATAGCAAAGAAATGCAGAGAAGAGAGAAATTAATATTGGGGCATACTCTGGTAGGTCAAAAGGATGCTGTTAGCTAAGACTGATAATCCTCTACCTAGTATACACACAACTGCCCCGGGTGTTTGTTCACAACAGACCCCAAGGCACTTTGCCTAACCTCATCAACATTTTAAATAAACTCTCCCCATCATGGCTTTTTTTTAATCTTTCTTTCTTTTTTCTTTTCTTTTCTTTTCTCTTCTTTTCCTTTCTTTTCTTTTTTCTTTTCTTTCTCTCTCTGTCTCTTTCTTTCTTTCTTTCTTTCTTTCTTTCTTTCTTTCTTTCTTTCTCTCTTTCCCAAACATCCTTTTAAGTTTTACAAATCTCAGAGGCCCAGGGGTAGTTCAGGTAAGACATTTTAAGGCACTTTTGGCCTTCCGTTCACTTTCA